CGGGAAAGGGGACGTGGCTTCCTGCACCTGTGGCACTGCTGCCATGTCCCCTGGGAGCGCTCGCTGGCCCCTGTGATGGTGGGGCGAGGAGGAAGCCCCCGCCCTGCCTTCCCAGCTCAGCCAGGGCCTTCGGCCCCCAGAAATGGCATCGGGGTCTATTCAAAAAAAATAATTTATCAGGTTGATATTTCACGTACATAAATATTCATCTCTATGGCTATGTACAGATGCAGCAAGAGCCTGGCAAGCAGCAGGGCTCCTGCCACTGAAGCGCTGGCCAAAGCCTGGCTCCCTGGGGGATGCCATGGGCATCCCATACAGTGCCCACCCTGGAGAGGCTCTGTCTCCTGCTGCCCTGCAATGCCAGGTAGGTCTCAGCCAGGACTGAAGGTTTGGTGCCAAAATGGAGCCCAAAGGGAGGGACACCCTGCCCCGGCACTGCAGTTCAAGGTCCTGCCTGCCCACTGCTCACACCAGGCAAAGCAGGGAACCTGTGGGAACATGGACACGCTCCCTGCGAGGGCAGGGGCAACCTCGGCATCCCCCTTCCCTGCCCGCCCTTAAGTCCTCACATTGGGGTAGGAGAAGAGGCGAGGAGCTAGTGGCAGCGGGTCATGGGTGAAGACAGAGTCATCGGAGGAGCAGGAGCTGCCGGTGTCCTCACAGGAGGGCGAGTACTGCTCAAAGGGCATGGAGAGGTCCAGGTACTGCAGAGATAGACAGTGGCCTCAGCACCCAGCACCCATGCTGCCTGCTCTGCTGCCCACCAGACCCTGCACTGCTCACCTCCTCTGAAACAGCAGCCAGGATCTTGTCCAGCCCCTCCACCAGCTGCTTGAAGGTGGGACGCTGTGAAGGGACAGCGTGCCAGCACTCCCGCATCAACATGTACCTGAGGAGGACAAGGGGGTGTTAGAGGGTGTTGCTGTGCTGCCTGCCCGCCCTGCCCAGCCAGTACTCACAGCTCATGGGTGCAGTTGGACGGCCGGTCCATGCGGTGTCCCTCCTTCAGCAGCTTGAAGAGCTCCTCGACAGGGATGCCAGGGTAGGGGGATCCCCCCAGCGTGAAGATCTCCCACATCAGGATCCCAAAGGACCACCTGGGATCACACATGGCAAAGGGGAGTCAACCATGTCCTGGGACCCTCCCCAGGCAGGTGAGGCCCCAGCTGATCCCACTGCACCCTGTGGTGAAATAGGAGAAGGAATGGGAGAGGGTGGCACAAACCCCGCGAAAG